GTTACCGTCGTTGGTCACGCAGCCACCTAAGTACGAGAAGCAGTCAACTTCAGCTAATTCCTGACCGTCTAGTTTCAGAGAAGAACTCGGCGATTCCCAGTTTTGCAGCATCATTTGCACTTTGAAGGTGCAAAGCAAATGCCAAAAGGAAAAGAACTTGTTAGTATATCAAGTGCGCTTTGCGTGTCCTCCAAACATTCGAAAAGGGAAACGATGTCGTCAGCATACTCCAGCTGCCTATTCAATACCTACATTTTGGAGACCACTTGGTGCGTTCTACAGCATTTCGTCTACGACGAAATTGAACAGGAATGGCGAAAGACAGCACCCTTGACGATACACCGCTGCTAGTTACGAACGACCTACTCAGCTCGCCGTAGACCCTTACGCAACCAGAAGTGTGCGAGTAGAGTGAACTCAGTATGTTCACATACTTCTGCGAAATAGCGAATCCACAAGGGATTCACGATCAACTGAGTCGAAGGCTTATTTTAAGTCAAGGAACACGACAACCGTTGGTCGACGATGTGTACGTCGTAGCTCGAGGACTTGACGCACCCACGGCCTGACCGAAATCCTGGTTGTTGTTCGCGGATTTTGTCTCCCTAAACGGTGTCGGACATCGAAGTATGATGGAAGCTAGTAACTTTGATTGGGATCAAACTTATTCCACGGTGGTTTGCGAGATCCCTTCTTAAAAATTGGAACGATCAGTGATTCGCTCCAGGATGCTGGAATGCGCTCGTGTGACCATATGTTACGAATAAAATAGTAATGGAGTCTACGAGGTCATCGCCCCCATCTTGAAAAGACTGGGGGGAATCCCGTCCGGTCCTACTGCTTTTCCTTCCTTCAGGGCTTGTATGCAAGAACGGACTTCTGCTGCAGTAAGAGGTTCAGATCACACTGCCTACGGAGCCTCAGTTACCACAAAGGATATAGCCTCGTTAGCGCCTGATTAGCTGAATTGTTGGTACTCCGCCCACCGGTCAAGCAGTTGTTCCCTATGGTGAACAGCTTGCCCACTTTTGTCGCAGATTGTTTCACTAATTGTGGTTTGCCGACCTCCGGTATTGCGTATCAGTTGGAACACTCTTTGACTATTCCCTGATGCAGCTGCTACTTCCATTTCACTAGCTATCGTTTCCCACCAGTTCTCACGATCTTTCTTGAGTTGAAGTTGCAGATGCCACCTAACCCTGCCTTGATCCCGAATGGTTGGGATTTGCCACTTTTCCATCATTGCTACTGACTGATCAGGTATGCAATGCCTCGGTCGGACTACCACTTCAGATCCACAAGCAACGTTCGCCGCAGAGTGCATTGCTCCGCTAATCTGATCCCATTGTTCATCTACACTACCAACCCGCGGCGCGTTTAACTCATGCCCTAGTTCTGATTCAAATCGAGCACGAACGGCTGAATCAGATAAGCGATGATCTGCCAATCGAGTTTGGTGGGATTTTCTGCGACCCGTAAGTTGGAGAACCAAATGCATCAAAATTAACGCATGGTCAGACTCAACGCAGGTGGTACAATAGGACNAATGGTGGCTTACTGCTATGTGGTCGATCTGAGTTAGCGCGCCAGTTAAATTTGAGCGCCACGTCGCTGTCCGTTGAGAGCTGTGTCGGAAGTTGGTGCTGGATAGGACCAGATGATGGTATGCGCAGAACTGAAGAATTCGATCGCCATTATCTGTTCGTTGGCAGGGCACAGCATAATGACCGCCTAGGCAAGCTACCGATGCGCTCAGTTTTCCAACTTGAGCGTTAAACTAACCTGCGAGAACAACTATATCGGAGCTTCGGCTCAACCGAAGGAGTTCGGTGAGTTTGTCATCAAACTCGTCCTTTTGTGTGTCAGAGCTGCAGTTCGTCGGTGCATACGCTGAAATGATGAACAAACACCTTTTAGTGTCGCTTCCCTTCCGGACGCTGATAGACCCTTAGAGCCGCATCGCATATAAGCGACTGTTGACGGGGATCAAATCGAGTAGTGCGGCTTCGGCTGTATTGATGAGAATAATGCCCACACCACGCTGGCCTACTGAACAGGCTTCGCCATAACCTGATGTGCGGAGGAAGAACCTCGACGACAACCCGGTGCACTTAAGTGGCTTATAGTACTAGGATCCTGGATTTGTGTCTCCGGTACGCAGCAGACATCAATCACCAGAGTCCAGTGTACGCGCCAGACACGCTTGCATCAGAGTCCTCACATTGAAGGCCCCCAGATTCAGTGTTTGATGAGGCTTCAGAATCTGCAGTCTATTTTGTGGTAAACTATTTACCGCGCTACTTGGCGATGAACTTTAGCAGGTGACGAACAAGTTGTCTGAGGGAATGTCAAGGGTTGGAAGATGGGGTTGAGGGAGAGGGTTAGGAACGGAAGACAAAGAGTTAAGCAAAGGTTGGGATACATGAGCAGTGGCCCACTTACGACTACCTACCTCGCTCGATGCAAGGAGCAGCGCGGTCCTGATTATTCTGTGCGACGACCGATGCAGTATGGAATAATTTTTTGGTTGTGTATGCATTTGAATTTGGTGGACGGGTACTGCCAGGGCGTCCAGCCACTAAGCGGGGGATTAGGGTTCTCATCCAAAGTCTTTAGTTCTAACAAGAACCCAACCGCAAGGCAGCGGGTAAAGCAAAGCAGAGGCCCATCTACTTGGATCGATTACTCCTCTACTATTTTATCGACTGAGACGCTAACTCGAGTCGAACCCCCAACCTGGAGGACCAGGAGACTGGACTTCGTCTGACCTCTACCCTTCGACCTTCCAGGCATGATTGGATCTTCGGCTTGACAAAAGCCATCCTGTGTAGCTCGTTTGGTCATAGAGTTGCACAAGCCATCATACCACGTCAAAGTGCAGTCTCGTCGTGAAGGAGTTTGGGATTTAACTTGTCAAATTGCGGGGTTATTCAAAGCAAATGTGCCTCATCTCCCCAACGATCCGTTGAGACGACGAGACTACAGACATCCTGCTGAGGTTCTGACACCACTGAAAGGCCTCAAAGCAAACAAACCTTATGGTCTTGAGTTGGAGTGACCTGAAATTCTGGAAAGATGTGCTGAAACACTTTATGAACCGATTGCTGAGATGCTCCACTTTTGCATGTCCGGATTGATTCCAAAATACTGGAAGCCGGTCCGGATTACTCGTGTTCTCAAAACAGGACTACAGTAAGTAGCAGCCCATTGCTTGCGCATGTACATTTTTAACTGAAATGTAAGCATATATGCTTACACAAATTATACAAACAGAAGTGTGTTGCAGAAGGCCTTTGGTAACGCATTGATCGAACGAATTTCACCCTTGATAGGTTCGAAGAACCTTTTACAATTCGATTGTAAATCATTTTTGACAACTGATATTGTCGCACAGTTTAATCTGTTTGCCTTAGATAATCGCTTCCGGACTTTAAGATTCGTCTGTTTTGGTCATGCATATGCCTTTGAGACCATTTTTATTACACAGTTGTGTGGTGAACAGCAGACGGAGCGAACCCCATAGTCACGAACACCTGCTGCTCCGTCAAGGAAACNNAGGAAACCGGGAACCTAAGCCACGGAACTTGGAGTGACGAACCATCTAAGACCTCGCTAGGTTGGGCATGGCATTGAACCGGACATCAGCAAAGCTGTCTATCACCAAAGTTGGGTGGCGGTAGCGGGGCTCAAACCTCGGACCATAGGGTTCAAAGCACAACGGCGACAGCGACTAAACCACTACAGTACCACCGGAAGTCTGTTTTTACATTGATCGTCCGTCTAATCCTTCCTTCAAATGGGTAGCCAGACGACAGTAACCAAAAGCGCCCCACGAGAGTGGTTAATGGTAATCTAAACTGAAACATGTGAAACCGTAACCATTGTTTGTAGTTCAGGCAATGGACTGTGGTGTTGGTTTGTTCCTCGAACTTCCAGTTTTGCTCCCAAGCGCTTCGGCATCATACTGAGTAGCGCCTTCTGATGACTTCGACTGGTATATTCTATTCCAGTGATCGCTATATATGGATTAACCCACAGAAACGCAGACTTCAAGGTAGTTTAGGAACCACTCAGGAATCCGCACAATCGGTACAAGCAGTAGCAGCGAGAAGAACCACAACTTTACACACGACCTACATCTTAGCTTCAACACATCGGAGGTCTACTTGACGAACCCTGTCTCGCATGTGCTTTGATATGTGACATTGACAAGTATCATTCAGAAGGCACGCATCACAGGGTTATCAGTGTGATGAGGTGTCTCGACCGAGAAAAATAAAACCTCGGTTCGTAAAGCACTCCAGGTATTCGACCCAACAATGCAAGACAGTACACGGAATAAAATGGATCTATAAAAAACAAGTCAATCATTGGGAGAAAAAAAAACTAGTTTTCGAAATGCTAACTATTCTAGCAGATGACTGACCTGCATAATAGGAAATTTAGTCCAAAGTTCGGCCATTATACAACCGGCGCCCCAAAGATCAACCGCTTTTCCGTAATGTCGATCGTTGAGAAGGATTTCTGGTGGTCGGTACCATAAAGTTACTACTCGACCGGTGTACCGAGTTGGACGATCGGCTCGAAGTGAAGCAACAGTAGTCCGGGCGAGACCGAAATCGGCTATTTTCAGCACTCCATTTTTGTCGATCAAAATGTTGGCAGCTTTCAGATCACGGTGCAACACATTGTTTCTGAAATCGGCGAAAGATGAAACTATTTAGGTGAAACGTGTCTAGGAAGACGAACAACAGGAATTCAGTATAAAGCATAGAAACAGACGAAAGCGCAAAATTCATTTTTTTAGCGTAAATTCTTAAACTCAATTCAATAGAAGCAAATGCATGATCGAAATTAAAGGTCCTACAGTTTCAAAGCATAGATACTGAGTATCCGGAAAAATCAATACAACTGCGTATTGAACAGCACTTATAGACATTGTGATGGATTGCTTCTTGGGTTATGAAACAAATCAGTAATGTGTAGTTATCCGCGAGAGCTGTGTAGCAGATATATATGGGCGGAACCTAGCGTAGGAAACCAATCATTGGATTTTTCATCAATTCAAAACTCAAAAAAGTTTTAACGAACAAGCACGTGTATAAGAAAGACCAGGCACGGATCAAACAGTCAATTATTGTTGGACCCCAGAAACGAGGAGAATTACCACAACAGTCCTTGGGAGCAGAATTATATCACTAAAGACATGATTAGAATTTACTCATATAAAGTTCCGATCACTTACCACTAAGAACATCGGAGATGAGTTCATCAAAGCAGACAGTGGAACGGCAAAAACAGCACACGCCCCAATAATCAGAATATTCATTCACAGAAACAACTTGATTTGATAGCTGCTTATTTATAAAGCAGGATCTGTGGTCCTGAAATCGGTGCTCATAAAGATTGGCTGGTTTCACATGATCCTGACCGTTCAGAGGAAAACGCTCGTGTTCGGAATAACGGTCTGAGCAGATGAACAAAATCGCTTTATATGAATATATTTTACTGAGCTTCGGTTGGTTCCCAAAAGTCAGGATCATGAAATGTCATGGACGTTTGTAACTCATGAGGTCCCCAGTCACTCGGATCAGGAGATTTGGTTGCATCATGATGAATATCATGTCAATAACGCACAAACTTTTCATTCCACACCAAAGCAATGAAAATTATAAGGGAAAACAACATGATCAAGAGAATCAAGCGTTTGGTTACAGAACCGATGATCTAATTCCTGAAGCATATATTAGCGCACTATATGAAACAGTAACAGGATAAGAGTGCTAGAGTCAAATGACAGCAAACCAGTTCACCAACAAATGTATAGTACACTCGGATGAAGGCAGCCACTATGCGGTCAGTTCTGCTTTATGATTGTGAAACCCTAGATATACCCGTGGAATAAAATTCTCGTTTAGAGGTCTTCGACTGTCGATATCTATGCAATTTGGCGCGGGTTGAATGGAGCGAGCGTGTAAGCAACTCTCAGGTAAACCGTCGAGTATTTGGAAATGATTTGATGGAGAATTCGTCATCACATCGAATTCAGATTGATAGACTTCGCTGGTTAGGACGTGTATTGCGCATAGTCAACCGCACCGCACCATATTTGCAGTTGCGGCTCCAGGTTGGAGGAAATCATGGGAAGGTCAACAGACGACGTGGAGATGAGGTATGAAGAAACGCACAGAACGATTAGGTAAAATAGGTGTCTCCCGTCTTCGAGATTAGGGTTCAAAACACTGCAACTTGTAGGTTGGGGACACTGAGGGATATGACAGCGAACCCACAGCATTGGTATTCTTGCTGTCATTTCTTATCAGTTCAGAATGCTTGAAAAGGTATGTATGCACAGTTAGGTTGTGCACTCAGCGCTGAGCACAGAGATTTATCTTATTTGCCTCCTTCCAACTAGACTCAAGCCTATTCATCTTGTACTTTCTTACTTCGTGTACAATGTGAGCTTAGTAGCGAGTAGGGAAGTTCGCTTCACTGTATCACTCTACTATGACGGATAAGGCATCATTACATACTAGAAGCAATAAAACCACGAAATCTACTGTCTACTTAGGAATGATAAACACAACATGCATGTTTCCAGAATATCAATCTCGATTAGAGTAGAGACCACGTCGGTGTTCACACTCAAGTTTCGCAAAAAAATTGATACAAGTATTCAAGAAATGCCCGCTATGGAGACCAAAGAGGACCACTATACTGTACACCGAGATAAACATCGAATGAGCGATTGACGAATAGAAAGCACGTTTCATAAAGGTACGCGGATAGGGCAGCGTATGCACCTCCCGAGTTTTGTTCAACTTCGATACAAATGGAACGTGACCAGTTGTCTAACTTTAAAAGTCAGAAAGATCTATGGGTTCTGCACCAATGCACATAGAAGGTAAGGGAGGGAAAAACGGCCTACTGTCGACAGCGAAACTAAAGATAGTTTGTTGAAGCCATGAANTGAACAACTACGAAGAAGAATGTTTGCGTTGTGGTTTCCTTTTAAAGGGAACAAAGCATACGAAATTTGGCAACAACTGCTGACAAAAGCCTTCAGACAATCGTTTTCTGTTGCCTAAGTTAAGGTCGTACTAGAGATGAGATCATTGATTGTTTAGCAGAGCAAAGA